AAAGTAGGGTAGACATGTGGATATTATCCGACTGAACAAAACGTGCATTTATCTAACAGGTTCGTTTTCCACTGACCTTATTTCGAGCTATTTTCCTAAGTCCTATGGAGAAATCCCATTGATTTTTTGTCGAGGGAAACATGAGGGAAACCGAGCGCAGCTTACTTCCGGATTTTAGGACGCGTCACTGCAACACTAAATTGATGCGATTTGATTGGATTGTGAGGCAAGGGAAGCCAGCCGCCTCCAGCTGGCATGGCCCTGACCAATCACAGGTTGGAAGGGGCATCACGTGAGCCTCATCTGATTGGTCAATCCCTCCATTTTTTTTCATCAAAGGAAGCCAATTTCGGCTAGCCTCCTCTCGCAACAGAGAGTGCCATCTACGGTTTCACCATAACATGTAGAGGGGCGCTGTTTCACTCTTTGTAAAATACTCAATGAGAATGGGGGAGAGACGGGCCGGCAGCAACACACAGCACAGAAAAATTACCGAAACCAAACGAAGTGTTTTTATTTATTTATTAAAATTATAACTACAATCCAAAAAAACAGGGGAAGCCTGGCTTCCCTTGGCCTCCAGGAGAAAACGCCACTGAGACCTAGGACCAGGTGGAGGGATTATATCTCTTCGCTGGCCTGGGAGCGCCTTGGGATCCCCCAGTCAGAGCTGGTTGATGTGGCCAGGGAAAAGAACGTTTGGGGCTCTCTGCTGGAACTGCTACCTCCGCGACCCGACCACGGATAAGCGGGAGAAGATGGATGGATGGATGGATGGATGAGTGAAATCAGCAATTAGGTTTCAGAAATATTTCTAAAGTTGATGGGCTTTTTTTATTGTTAATGTCATTGAAAAAGATCAAAAATACGACATTTGTGAATTAAATATTTACCAAATATAATACATTTTCTTTCCAAATCCAGGTTTTTCGTTCACAAATCGAAGGTCATGTTTTATTTTATCATATGCCGGGTTTTTTGTTACATGGATGTGCTGTGAAGTGATAATTATCCGACCATAAAGTCAGATTGTTCTGCAGCTCTCAGCATGTCGTGCTGCACAGTAACACATCGAGCACAACGAGCAGATCGATGGAGCAGCAGCCTGAGAATAAAAGCCTCTCCACATGAAGCTCCTCTCACATGACTCAAACACAATCCCCAGGAGCTCAGCGGGCCCCAGGAGTCCCCTGATCACCCTGACACTGGACCCTCAGAGTCCTGCACCCCGGGGCCCAGAGCCAGCCTGAGAGGCCCTGAGAAGCTCTGATCTATGGAGGGGGAGGATGTCAGAGAGGCATGTCACTTTGATTCAACGCCTGCAGACCAACGTGTGAGATGCAAGCTGTGAAATAAAAAAATCAATATTTCTGAGCGCTGCACAGCCTCCTTCTCCTCCCAGAGGCCTGGATTACACGCACGGGACAAAAGGAAGTTATACAATACATGACCGTGATGCTGATTGTACTACAGTACAGTATGTTAGGGCAAAGCTGCCAAATATGCCCCACTCTGTTCTAGTGCGGTTTTGTGCACGGATGAAAAGGCTGCAGAACATTTACATAAAACATATCTGCTGCTCTGAGGTGCTTACTACCAAACTGAAGGCTCCAGAAGGAAATATATCTCTAGTTATGGCTGCACAATATATCGTTTCAGCATCAAAATTGCAATATGTTCATGAACCATTCATTATAAACGCGGTACGGCAATGTCAAACATAACACACAAAAGGAGTTTCTTTCCCATAAATGGGGCGAAGCCTGCGAGCTAGTTCAGGCAGTCAACTCGAGCACTTATGCTGCATTCATACATAACGCCCCCTTGCCACTCTACAACCAACCAAACAGAGTCTCCTTAATATGCCGCTCTATTGAACCTGCCAGATCTCTCTCCATGCATTGCTTGCTGCTGCTATTGCTGCAGCTACTTCCATGTCGCTGCTGCTTGCCTGCCCCACCACCACCCCAGCTTCCACCCCAGCTTCCACCCCAGCTTCCACCCCAGCTTCCACCCCAGCGTCCACCCCAGCTTCCACCCCAGCTTCCACCCCAGCGTCCACCCCAGCTTCCACCCCAGCTTCTACCCCAGCATCCACCCCAGCGTCCACCCCAGCTTCCACCCCAGCTTCCACCCCAGCTTCCACCCCAGCTTCTACCCCAGCGTCCACCCCAGCTTCCACCCCAGTGTCCATCCCAGCTTCCACCCCAGCTTCTACCCCAGCTTCCACCCCAGCGTCCACCCCAGCTTCCACCCCAGCTTCCACCCCAGCGTCCACCCCAGCTTCCACCCCAGCTTCCACCCCAGCTTCCACCCCAGCGTCCACCCCAGCTTCCACCCCAGCTTCTACCCCAGCGTCCACCCCAGCTTCCACCCCAGCGTCCACCCCAGCTTCCACCCCAGCGTCCACCCCAGCTTCCACCCCAGCTTCCACTCCAGCGTCCACTCCAGCTTCCACCCCGGCTTCCACCCCGGCTTCCACCCCGGCGTCCACCCCGGCGTCCACCCCGGCGTCCACCCCGGCGTCCACCCCGGCGTCCACCCCGGCTTCCACCCCGGCTTCCACCCCGGCTTCCACCCCAGCTTCCACCCCAGCTTCCACCCCAGCGTCCATCCCAGCTTCCACCCTAGCTTCCACCTGTAGCCTCGGGGGGTTAATTATCTAATCATCACTCATCGTGCTTTGTATATCTGTGGAGCGATGAGGCCCGAGCCTAGACGCCAAACTCAACTATATGCTGCTTCTAATAAACATGTTAAAGAAACACGTGAGTTATCTGACTGAACTAATCTATGTGTAAAATCTTTCTGAAATAAAGCGATTTATTCAGATTGAAGGCTTCTTAGTGACACAGAGTTTGTTACAACAGAGTGTCATGCAAGTCTCTGCATGCGAAGAGAAACCGTCAATTACTATCATTCCTTTAAATTCATCAAAACAACCACAAGGAAAGCGATAGTTGACAAGACACAATCTGAAAATGAGCGTATAAAAGATGGAAAATACCCAAAAGGTTGCAAAAAGAAAAGAAAAGTCAGGAAGTATTTTGGACACAAGAAGAACGATGTCCAAAAAAAACGATGTGACCAAAACAGGTCCATATTCGTCATATTGTGAAAATGCACTGTTTTTTTCACATTGCATGCAATATACAGTATATCCCAGTAAAAAACATCTTTCATTATGACACAGTCCAACCTAGAATTCTAATTGCAAGTAAAAGGAGAAAGATTGCAAAAAACGAAGATTTGGTTGCAAAAAGAACACAACTTCAGTAAATATTGCAATGTCATTTTTTTTGCCAAAACCATGCATCCCTTCCTTTATTTTTGTCATGGATTGTAACACAGTAGTGGTGCACGATATTAGGAATTATGAGTCATCCCGATAAACCCGATAACAGTATTAATAGCCCCGATAATATACAATATATGTTTTGGGTAAAAAAAAGAAACAAATACTGCGGTGTGGGTGGATTGGGATGAGGGGCGCTTGTTTTTCACTCGGCTCCTCCCGTTTTGCCAGTACTGTGGTATTAGTGGTTTAGGAAGAGGGGAGTTTTTCACAAATCCAGCGCTCCCTAACTCATGCCTGGCTGTGACGTAAATGGTGTGCGGCCGTGAAGCCAGGACAATAAACAAACATGTCGCCGGTAGTATGGGACTATTTCAAAGTTTCAGAGTTAGATAGTTCGCTTGCTATTTGTATTAACAAATGCAATGCAGAAGTTCCACGAGGAGGGAAAAAGGCAACAAGCTATAATACTTCCAACCTGATTAGTCACCTGAAACATCGCCATCGCTACGATGGTGTGTTAAAAGCGTACGAAGACGCCTGCGCTGCTAAACTAGCGGCGAATCCAAAGCCAGCTGCAAAGGCACCGGGGCTTTTACCTATCGACGAGGCTTTTGAAAAAGGCAAGAAGTTTGCCAGAGACGACCCCAGGGCTAGTTTTGTTCATAGTAGTAATGCTCATGTCATTTGCTCACTACTAGTCTTTTTTTTACCACCAGGTGTGCAAAATCTACAGGTACATTTAATATATATATTATATTATTATCGGTTATCGGTATCGGTCTTGAGAAGCAGGAAGGTATCGGTATCGGTTTAAAAAAAAACAATATCGTGCATCCCTATAACACAGTTTAACCTGAAAGACTGTCATGTACTGATAATAAAGTTTGCCTGTTGAAGTATTCTGTCTCTTTATGTCATACTGCTCTTATTCTTCCATGCTGCTCTCCTTCAATGGAACCAGACACCACAAAGAAGCAGCAAAGCTCTGACGTTCAAACAAAACAGACGCAGCAGGGATCAGAGAGGCGAGGAGGTGTAAACTTAAGGACTTCCTGTTTCCACAGTCGTGTGACGGATCCCAGAGTTGAATCCCCCATAGCATCACACACACACACACACACACACACACACACACACACACACACACACACACACACCTGAGCGAAACTCTCTTGACAGGAAAACACGGGGATGTAAAGGAGATGAGAGGGTACGCCGTCTCAGCGTGTCAAGAAAGAAGCGTTTTGTATTCACAGTGATGAGTGCAAACAGCACATGAAAAGGTAACCGGAGTACGATCTAAATTAAATGATGTCAAGAGGCGAAGAAGACGAAGTTGTTGTGACAAAAGCAAACGCTGAATGAGACGCGTGTCAGGAGGAAGGCTGTACAGCTTTGAAGGGAGCTGTCAAATCTTATATACAACGTTTTTCAGGTGTAATATGGAGGATAGAAGCAGCCAGAATTCAAAAAATGTATAACTAGACAAATATGTATATAATCTGCCATTACATGTACCAAAAGTATTTTTTTTTTTTAAATAACATTTGGGTTTAGTAGTATAGTTGATGCAAAGACATGAATACAAGTGGACAAATTCAGATTTAAAAATTCAGCAATAATAAACCACGAACAACACATGAATAAAAACCCAACGCTGCACAACCATGACACAAAATAATAAATAAAAAAGCAGTCTTACCAGGTCTCGTCGTTTTTGAACTCCAGCTCTCCGTAGTTGTCCTCGAAGTCCTCCCCTCCTCCCTTGGCGATCGCCTCCACGGTGCGAAACGGCACAATGACCGTGCCCCTCGCTCCGGAAGTCCTCAGCACCTTCACCTCCATGATGCCGATGCTCTCGCTGATGTGCACCGAGCCGCTCTCGAAGGTGAAGATGCCCGAGTGGTCGTCGTCCAAGATGGTGACGGTGGCCACGGCGGGGAATCCCAGCATGGCCTTCGGGTACGGGAGGCTGTTGGGCGACAGCACCTCGTCCTCCGTCTCCAGGACGCGCAGATTCCCCAGCCGCACGAAAAAGTGCTCGTCCTCCTCGAAGATGTCGTCGTCTATGATGCCGATGTTGATCTCCCTGAACATCTCGCCTGGTTTGAACACCACCGTGCCCTCGGAGAACTCGTAGTCGGCCCCAGCGTTGGCCGATCCGTCCTCCGTCTTGTAATCCACGTAGATCGTCTTGTTGATGTCGCCGCCCCTTCTGGTGACGGTTAATATCGCAGCGCCGCAGTTCTCGAGGCACTGGTAGACGGCGGGGTCGAAGGTGATCCTGGACACGTATTCCTCCGGTTCCTCCACGTGAATCTCCTGAATGCTGACGCTCTTCTTGGCCTGCTCTGCCACGTGTTTCTTCAGGATGTTTCCGGCGCCCGTCATCATGCGGGTGGCCTGGATGCGGTAGAAGGCGCGGCTCTTCTGCTGGTGCGACAGGGCGTAGTAGTTGGCCATCTCCACCAGCTGATCCAGCTCTTTCTCCGGGTACTTCTGCTTCAGATCCTTCAGGATTCGGATCATGTCTCGCCGGGATTCGTCCACCTCTTTGCTCTCGATCAACCCGACGAGATTGCTGGCGGCGCTTCCGTCCATGAAGTGCGAGTTCACCATCTTGCCGTCCATCTCGATGCCCTTCGAACGCTCCCCTTCCGTCTCGATGATGACCCCCCGGTGTTTGTCGTGGCGGTACTTCTTGTGCATGAACTTGAAGAAAAGCAGTCTTCTGTCCGCTATCCAAGCCAGGAAAACGCATATGGGGAAGAAGGCCAGCGTGAGCAGACCCTCCCACACCTGGACTTCATTCGGGGAAAACACAGCCAGGATCATGTAGAGCCAGATGTAGGCGAACACGCTCCATCCCGCCGTGACGAAAAACACTCGCAGGTGTTTGACCTTACGCACCTCTCCTTGTGGAACCACAGACACGCAGATGCCGATGATCACGAACATATTGAAGGCTGCGCTGCCCACAATAGTAGCCGGCCCGAGTTCTCCAGATACAAACCCGTGTCCACAGACCTCGATTAACGTGAGCAGGATCTCAGGGGTCGAGGATCCTAAGGCCATGAGGGTGAGGTTGGACACGGTTTCGTTCCACACCCGGATCATGGTGGTGGTCGTTTCCCCGTTGGGCTTCTTGATGACCAGTTCCCTCTCCTGTGAAGTGATGACCTCGATGGCGGCCATGAAGCGATCAGAGATGATTGACACCCCGAGGAACATGTAGATCATGGCCACGAAATACACAATGACCCGGGCGATCTTGTCTCCCATGGAGGGGTCCTCGGGGTACCAGATGGGCAAGATGATCCCCGCTCTGCATTTGGAGTTCCCCGAGCAGGTGGCATTGCTGGGGGTGATTAAGGGGCTTGGGGTGGTGCGAGCCTCCGTGCACAGGAAGGCGACGGCAGCAGAGAACAGCCACACCCAGAGGCAGGCTGTCGACCCCGGTTTCACTGATCCTGAACCCTCCATAAACCCTCCGTCGTCTCAAGGGTCCTTACCAGGCTGACAGACCCCCCGGGATCCAGCACTGGGCTGTGCTTCGTCTCCACCCACCACCTGAAAGCAGAGACAACACACATTACACGGATGTTGTTGGGAAAATACTGAATGTACTCTTCCAATATCAGAGTAGCACATGATAACAAAGGCCCTACGTAGCTGTGTACATGACAGGATGTATGATTACCTAGAAGAGCATCAGGACTGTTTTAGGCATTTGATAACTATGTGACAACGATTAACATGATGATTCTGCTTCTATGGAGATAGACATATGACAAGCATGATCATTTCTGATGTGGGTCTAAGCTAATCTAAACTAAACATTACTGCTTTTAACCGGTATTCCTCCATCTTGTGACTGTGTAACTCCCTCTCTTGGATATCAGCATGTGAAGGACACTGTTCAGGAACTAGTTGATGCTCTGTATGTGATGACTACTTCCATTCTTGAGAGGATAATAAATACATCCTAATTATTGAAGCTCAAGCCGGTGACGAGTGATATTTTTCTAACAGATGTCAAAATATATATTTATCAAAAAACACAAAGAGGTTACTCTCAAATTGAGCTGCAAAGGCTTATTGTCTGTTTTGATATTTGATTATATATTAATTGTATAACCGGGTCTGAACATCAGCACTTTTACATGTTTTGAAAGAATTAATAGACCACTAATGGCGCATTTCCACAGGCAGGGCCTCGCACGGCTTAGTACAGTATAGTTAGGCCTTGGTAGGCCAGGCTCACTTTATGCTGCGTTTCCATTACAGTTTAGGAACTGGGGTAGTAACTATAGTAACACAGTGTAGGCGGAGCCGTGACGTCATCTTCAATGCGAAACACAAAACCAACATTAGCCGTTAGCTGTTAGCCCTCAGAGCTCACAGCTCCTCATATCTGTTCAGAAACTAGACAAAAGTGAAACAAGTACAAACCACAGACTGTCTGTGTCATGGCGAATACAGTCGCTGGTTTATTTATGTCTGTATAGGCCGTTGTTGTGAGTGTGGACGGAGCATATACAACGTTAGCTTAGCCAATCTCCATCCAGAAAACACGCATTTTAAAAGGTTTTCGCCTGCCGTCTTGACTGCAGACTTGTCAAAGCATTAATTCATAGTTTTTACTAACCAGTATCAGTATGTTGTTACTTTGGCATCATTTTGAAACGTGTATTTCAATTAAATCACGGTAAAATATGTTCATTTTGTTGTAGTTGTAGCCCCCTTGCCAGCGATTCTCTCTCTAGTTTAGCATATTCAGCCCGGATGTTGGCCCGGAAAGAACCACGATTTTGGAGGGCCAGAAAAACTGTGAAAAACCACCCGTTAGCCGGAACTACCCCTAGTGGAAACGCAAAAAAAACGGGCCGGATTTGGCACGTAAACTACGTGCTGCAGTGGAAATGCGCCATAAAAGAGCTCCTAAGAGGCCAAATTACAAAAACTACAAGTCCTTTTTCTGAAACAAACACCGTATCTATGAATCTAGCAAATAATCTGAAACCGATTGAGACACACAACTTTAACATCTTGTAAAAATAATAAAATTGCATTACATTGACTTGACTCTTTTGCTCAGTGAATAATTACCACAGTTTCTTAATGAATAACTAATTGAACATAATTATTTAATGAATTAAATCACGTAGTAAAAGTGTGTAACAACACATTATGTAATATCACATCCGGTTATTAAACAACACATTGTAGTAAAAAAAATTCATTACGTAATAACACCTGAGGCTTGAATGCATTTTGTAATAAAAATGCAGGAGTTTCCTTTTTGTTTTTTAATGGAGATTTTACAATAGATGCATTACGTAATAACCAACCAAAAATGCCACTCATTTTGGTTGGTTATTATATGTTTTCCTGTGTACACAGTATATTTTTAGAAGAAGGAAAATGTTAACAAAGGACTTTTTTGTCCAGGTGCAATAAAACAAAGTTAGTTGAAGCAGGAGGAAACCAACAGCCCTTCCATGAGTGGTATACATTGCATAGTTTTGTGTCAAAGACAAACTTTATGATAAAGAAATGCCAATAAATATGAAATACAAACATTTTAATTAAAATGATTTCTAGTCTCAAGGTGAGCATTTAACAAAGTAACATACAGGTGCTGAAATAATTAATAAAATATGAGAAAATAAAAAGAAAGAGAAAAGAAATGGCATATACAGATTTGATTACAATCTACTATAACCCTATATTAACATTTCTTAAGATTAACCAGAGATCATGAAAGACTGTTTTTCGGTATTTTACTGAAATTGGACCAATTGATGTCAATATTAGATTTGGGGATTACCATACATTTTTTAATCTGTATGTAAATTATTTTTGATTTAAATTCTTGTTGAGTGACTTGAGAGATTCTGGTTTACTGTAGATGTGACGACGAGTGTCCAGTAATGTGGATGTGTGCGTGATGTGTCATGTGTGTGAGATCTCGGGGGTCACACACACTCCGGAGCAAAGCGCTCGCTCAGCAGGCGTGAAATGTTGCCAAACTAAGCACTGTCCAAAATGTCGCATTGGCAGAACAAATACACCGAGCAGAGGGGAGGCAGGAGACCGTCAGGAGGCGAAGTGAAACAAAGATACAGATGTCCCGTCCAAATTCATTACACACTGAGCTCTAAATGCACCCTTACCACTTCTGCAAGAGAGAGCAGCATCAAACTAACAATGCAGACGTTGTCAAAATGAATAAATGCTGTAGCTAAGCATCGTATGCACATCATGAAAGAGACGACTCTTTAGATGCAAACAGCTGAGGCCGGAGGCAGCGAGAGCATCATCACACGTATCAGATGTGAGCTGCTTTAAATAGGGTTTATTCTAAAGGCTATCTCCTCAGTGGTACCTGGGATTATGGGTTATTTATAAGCACAATAAAATGATTAAATGCGCGAGAAAATACAAGGGCATGTAAACGTGTCGAGGAATTTGCCATGGTGCATACATAAACACCGTTAAAGAAGATACATTGTCGGAGAAACAACCAAACAATGCAATTAAAACAAGTATACAATTTAGGAAGGAAGTTAGACAGTATCCTAGAGAACCCCTCCCACCCACTCCATGCAGAGCATCTGAAGACGAGGAGTACGTACTTCAGCCACAGACTCATCCCTCCACGACACAGCACCAAGCGCCTCGGACAGTCCTTTGTGCCTGTAGCCATCAGGCTATATCTAATATGTAATATATGACTCTATATGTATATATGTCCATTTTCATTCATTTCTTAACTATAGTTTATATGACCAAAAATGGGGCAAAGCCTGCGAGCTAGTTCAGGCAGTCAACTCGAGCACCTGTGCTACATTCATACATAACGCCCCCTTACCACTCTACAACCAACCAAACAGAGTCTCCTTAATATGCCGCTCTATTGAACCTGCCTGATCTCTCTCCATGCATTGCTTGCTGCTGCTTTGCTGCAGCTACTTCCACGTCGCTGCTGCTTGCCTGCCCCACCACCACCCCAGCGTCCACCTGTAGGCTCGGGGGTTCATTATTTAATCATCACTCATCGTGCTATGTATATCTGTGGAGTGATGAGGCCCGGGCCTAGATGCCAAACTGAAATGTATATATCCTCATTTTAATTTGAATTGTATTAATTTCTTATTTTATATTTTCTCATTATTTCGATTTTTATCGCTGATCTTATTTTAGATTTTATTAATCTGTGTGAATCTGTGCTATCCTGTTTTTCACTCTTACCCTGTTGCTGTTTAAACAACTGAAATTAATTAACAAAGTTCCATCTTATCTCATCTTATCTTACCCGTAGGCTACTATAAATACAAAAATAAGAGATGTGGATTGTTATTATTGAAAGTGGAAAGGTGTGTAGATACTAAGAGAGGTAGCTTGTGTACAAGTGTGAAAAATATTTGGAGGGTTGTGCAGAACTGGCAATGATTAAATAAAATAAATATAAACAAGATATTAGTTGCACTAATGAAATGCACACAGTCGATACAAGTGGCTGAAAGCAATTGTCAGTGGGGGTCCCAGGCCTTGTTGATGAGGCCCTCAATCCATTAAGGAGCACATGTTTTGCTTTGTAAGTTGTTTGCACTACACTGGGGGTGTTTCTCAATGTCGAGGATGCTTCCTTGGTAGGACATGTCTTCCGAGTTAGTTGCTTCAGAAGCGAGACAAGAATCCTTCCTAGCCTCGGAAAACGAAGAATTGTGGAACAGGCTAACAGGTGTGCGTCATATTCGAGGCCCCGCCTTAAATGGAGTGCGATTTCCGCCAAAGATTTGGAAATTGGTCCGTGCGCAAAGCATTGTGGGGATTTTCTACACATGTGCAGCCTCGAAATTTCCCGCAACGAAGGACGCCGGCCTCGGTAGAATTCCAAGTATGCTGGACATTGGAACAGTCCTTCGGCGGGACTCGATGACGTAGTATGCTTGAAATAGTGGCTTTTAAAATAACTGCCTGGTGATATTTTGGGAACTGTATCCATCAGCTCTGGGGCCAGTTTGGAAAGCTGACAGGGTTTTAAATATACTGCCAAATTGTATTTCTGGATCCTAGGCAGTGTTAATGTCTGATAAAGAACGTTTTAAATACCTTTTGTGTGGAGAATCAAGCATGTACACGTCACTTACAGATGCTTTTATCCAAAGCGACTTATACACTCAATACTGTGGGCAACCAATCCACTGAGCCACATCATTAGCAAAACAAACTGATATATCCTGGTGTAATTATTCCTAATATTTCTAATTTAATCGATCAAAGGTATGAATAATAGCATCATTATTCAACACGTTCTCACTCCCACACATGTTGACGGTCGGTCAGGGCCCCTCCCCGTCACTCTATTACGGACAGGGTACCCCTTGAGAGTCAGTTTTCAACGGGCAGGGCATCCCATTGACTTGCATAGACCTCCCATAGCGTTGATAATAGACGCCATGAGAACGTAGTTCGTAGTTTAATAGTCACACTCGACAGTCGGTTGTTATTGTCAATATTAATAGAATAATTTTATTTTTTAATAGTCACACTCGATTTCGCCG